ATATTGTCAACATAAAGCCAACATAAAGTCTTTCAGCGTGTTAAGAGTACTTTCACGTAAAAAAAAAAAAAAAACAAAAAAAACACATTACTCAAGAAGTAAAAGTATGTCAAAAAAGTAGTTCAGTCAAGTAACTATAACTGAGTACTACCCATCTACACTAGCCAGTGCACTAATGTAACTGTATCATATGAAATACTCCTTGTAATTGCCTTTTCTTTCTATTCAAACTGTTGTCTTTCCTCAGATCGTCATTATTGAGCACAAGTCAATCATTTGCCCTGGTTACAATGCGGTGCTTCACATTCACACCTGCATTGAAGAAGTGCAAATCGCAGTAAGTCTCAAAACTGCTTTTTCCTCTGCCACTGGTTTAACTGTACACCTGGGCTTTGTTGATTAAATACTGTGTCAAATGCAGGCCTTAATTTGTCTGGTGGACAAGAAGACGGGAGAGAAGAGCAAACATCGCCCCCGCTTTGTGAAACAGGACCAGGTGTGCATCGCCAGGCTGCGGGCGTCAGGAGTCATCTGCTTAGAGACCTTTAAGGACTTCCCTCAGATGGGGCGCTTCACACTGCGAGACGAGGGTAAGAGCGCGGGCGCTTTGTACGTTTAGTCAACCTGAGTCATCCAAACAAAGCCTTACTACTGTCTCTGTGTGTGCAGGCAAGACCATCGCCATCGGTAAAGTGCTGAAGCTGGTGGCAGAAAAGGACTAAAGCGAATGGCAGCATGCATGGAGATCTTCCACTCATTATCAGAGGAGAAATGCTGCTGGAGCCCACCCAACCTGCTGCTCTCCTCACACACAACTATGCTGAGAGGAGAGGACCTGTGTGGAGGAGAACGCATCACGTCAAATGAAGAAAACAAGACTGAATCAGTTTTTATTATGAACAATATAAAGGAGAGACCAATTCCAGTGTGTCAGCTTTCTCATATTGAGAGCTCAGCTATGCCACTAATGTAGCGCCCCCTTCAGTACTCCCACAGCAAACAGCGCTGTTGGCTAGCCATGCCATTTGTTTTTAGAATGGAGATGGATGCTGTGGTCCTGAGTCAGGGGAAGAAAAGCTATCAAAAAGAACACATGGATCTCATATTCTGCAACAGAGCAGGGTTAGCCTATATTAATGATAGTCACCAACTACACCTCCCTTTAGAACGAGTGGGGTTTGATTTGTGTTTAAGAAGTGCGGGAATGCAACACAAAATGTTTAGTTTGGTCTCTCTCTATCGGAAATGGTTTGAGCTCACATACTACTCTGATGACCCTTGGATAAACAGACGTGGCTGTTACATAATCAGAACTGAAAATAAATGATCAAGCTGAAAAACATGTCTCATTTATTAAATTAATGGTCTGATCAATTGAGGGACATCCTGGTAAAATAAAAGTTAAATAAATAAAAAATAATAATCATAATGAAACATAATGACATGATGAAATATTCATTTTGACTGAACACGGACATGCTGAATTATATCATATATGAGTATAGTCAATTCGATGGTTGATCCGTGGTTGCTTCAGAAAGACTGTTACTGAAAAATGTTCAATAAAGTTTAGTTTCTGTGTCACGTGGTAGTGGTAGACACACTGCGCATGCGCCTCTGGGAGCTACACGTGAATCGGACAGCATGGCTGTAAATATGGAAAATAAAGACGTTGGATTAGATCGGCCGCAAGTAAGTTTTATTTTTGTACTAATAGCGTTGATGGAACATTGTCATACACTCCTCCCTGTCAGTTCCATGACATAATTTTTTAAAATGATATAATTGTATAGTGGTAAATGGTATAATAGCAGCTAGCATTAGCCTCATAGCTATTATGCAGTCTCTGTTTCTGTGTGATCACTTCTCTTTCTAAAATAACTGTGTCTGTCAGGTGAAGAAGGCAGTTCAGGCCTTACAAGCTTTCCTCAAAACCAAGTCCACCGCAGATTCCCTGCTGCTGGATGAAACCCAACAGATCAGCCTGCTCTTCACCCTGTGGAAGATTCCCAAAACTGCACAGACAATCCGCATGTAAGGGCCCAGCAGTCGAATTGTGTACTGATATTTGCAATCACACGCCTCACACGTTTTATACTAAATGTACTTGTGTGTTGGTTTGCAGCCCATTGCCCCACGGCCAGAGGTCCGACACAGATGAAGTGTGTCTCTTCACTCGAGATGAGCCCAACATGACTCCAGAGCAGACCCAAAGGTTCTATAAGAAGCTGCTTGAGCAGAGAGGAGTCACCTGCATCACTGAGGTATTTCTCATTTTGTGTTGGAATAGACCTTTTCATTTATCATTGATCAATCAAATGTATGTTAGTGTTTGTATCTTAGTATTAAACAAAACACTGTATTGTTCAGGTTATCCCATTCAAGACACTAAAGAAGGAGTACAAGCCTTATGAGGCCAAACGCCGCCTTTTAGGAAACTTCGACATGTTTCTGTCTGATGACCGAATCCGCCGTCTGCTGCCATCCCACATTGGAAAACACTTTTACGAGAGGAAAAAGTAAGTACTCCAGATGACAAGATTCTATTATGCTCATTTCTCTAACAAAATATAAATCTCGAAATCATAACAATTCTTAAATATGATTCAAATGTTTTTTCCCTTCAGAGAGCCTTTGTGTGTGGACTTGCAGAGCAAGAACCTGGCCAGAGACGTCCAGAGACTAGTCCAAGGCACAAGTTTGAAAATCACCAACAAAGGCAGCTGCTGGTAAATCTATATCCAATAAATATGTCACACTTACCTAATCAGTTTGCTGTATAGAAAACAATGAAAGAATAATAAAATACCTTACATATACAGTGAACATTTGTTACTGAAAATCCAGTTGAAATACTAATTACAACTAATATCATTCTTTACATTCTTAACTTAACATGTAAAGCAAATAAACTAACATATTTTTCCCCTGTGCAGTATGGCTCGTGTGGCACACTCCGGTATGACAGCAGATGAGGTGACAGACAACATCGAGGCCACAGTCCGGACAGTAATGGAAAAAATGCGAATGGTAAGATCACTTCTTTTTTATGTTTTACCACAATTCTAAATTTGCTAAATACTTAAAAAAAAACAAGACACACATACACTTTCCTCAATTTTATATGATGTTAATTGAACTTGGGCAATTATTATAACACTGCCTATTAATATTAAATTAAAATTATTATTTTTTGTTGAAAATTAATTCTGTTACATTTAGTGTTTCTAGAATGTGGATTGAAATATGTATAGCATATCAAGCCATTTCCCAAATATTGAAACCACTAGTAACAAGGCTCATGCATTTATTAATTGTAATACATACAATGGGATGTGCAATATGCTACATATATGCAACATGGTATGCAATGTGCTACAAAAATCTGTTGTTTGTGTTTATAGAAAGGACCACTGATCAAAATCATCCATTTGAAGAGTCAGGATTCTGTAGCACTGCCCATTTACACCTCCGACCTGAGTCACCTCACTTTGGTAGAAGAACTGAACCAAAAGACCAAGAAAGGCCAGAAACAGGTGGGTTTAAACTTAAAGCTGTAGGATGTAAGGCTAAAATAAATCATGTTTGTTTTTTTGTTTTGTCCTGTTTATTGCACTGAAAAAACATGTATTCTTACCAGAGTAAGCGAGACTCTTTTTTTGTGCTTGTTTCCATGGAAATGTTATTCCTTTTGCTAAAATTTTTGAGAGTATGTGAGAATCCAGTGAGAATTTGCAGTATGGTTTTAACTTTATATTTCCATGGGATCATGCAGGTGATGTGCTACTGCCAGAAAGTCATATTCTGACACTGTAACCTATAATTCATGTAAAGTATATTCCACATAATCGTATTATATTTGCATTAAATGCAAGATGGTTATGTTAAATGCCATATTTTAGAACATTCTTGAAAATCTGAAAAGTTACTCAGTGCAAATCTGCCATATTCAACTAAATATTTACATTCATAATGTATTCATAGAAAGCTGTGAAGAAAAACAAGACAGAAGATAAACAAGCTGATACAGAGGAGCCGAAAGAGCAAAATAAAGCAGAGCCTCGAGACGGCGAAGAGGAGGAGGAGGATGAAGCGGAGGAAATCCCTCAGCTGGTTCCCATAGAAACCCCAACCAAAAAGCGTAAACTGGAGGTCAGTGTTCAACAGCTGTTACTTACAACTATATTTATTACAACCAAACGTGTCCTAATCTATTGTTATTGTTGCAGAAAACTGCTAAAAAGAAGACACTGGAGAAAGCTCCCAAGCCTCCTGTAGCATCAAAAACTAAATCTGCAAACAAACTCGCCAAGAAGAAGGATGCCAAGGTGAAGAGGAAAGTGCCCAAAGTGAAATGATGATTACAAACAGCAACTATAGGCTTTGAATACATAATTATATTAGAATGGTTTAAATGTTCTGAATCAGTGGTCCGATTCTCAAAACTTTTGTTATATGTAAAATCTGCCATATATTCTTATTGTAATAAAATAACCTCTGTACTACACGTTTTACTTTTTTTTTTATCTGGCAAGCTATAAGACAAACAAAAATGTGTGCATGTTTTGAAAATATGTTCTAGGGCTGCAAAATAAATCTCAAATCAAAATTGCAATTAGCAGATTACAAAAGCTGCAAATTTTGAAGTGCCATAATTTGTTCACAATTAACAAAATATGATGTCTTATTCTGCATAAAACTGCTAGCTGCAACTTAGATCTGTACAAACATGTTCTGAAATGTAATTCTTGCATTAGTCTGTTTATATTTCAGTCTTTATCAATTCTTCTATACACATTTAAAATATGAACTTTGAACTCTATTGTTAAAACATACATTACAAATCTCACATTCGCAATGTTTGTTAGAAAAATTATTTTAAATTCCACAAAGGTACACCTAGGGGCAATGATGCAATTTGAATTCATATTCAAGGTTCATTACGTATAAACCTACTTGTTGCCATGGAGACGTTAATGCTTTGCCTAGAATGTTCCACAGTACAGTATTAAATTGACATTTACTTATGTTTCATTTCTAAATAGCTTGAGATAACAGTCTACTGAGAGTGATTGGGGTTACCTCTCCACAGATCTGACCTGTAACTTCACCTGGGGTTTACAACACTCAACATTCCAGGCAAATCAATACAAATCTTCATGGAGACAAGCAGGTAATGGATCTTCAACCAAAAAAGTTACACAGACCACCTTACTTATATACATATACTATTCAGTAATTATTTTAGTGCAGTAACATGAGTTTAAGATATTAGTTTAGTCCAGTAATGTCCAGCCCTTTTTGTGTTGTGCTATTTTGAGTCCCAGCTGTTGGAACCATCTGCCCTCTACAGCTGTGCACCAGAGCAGTGCCATATGTAAGCATGCAGTAGTTTTGTGCCCCCTGCTGTTCGCAATTGGTGTCTGCGACTTTAGCAAGTCATGAAAAGTTTACATTCTGTATAATAAATTACACAGGCATCAGTTTACCCACAACATGTCACATCTCAAGGAGCTATACAAAAGAAAGAAAAAAATAATAAAAAAATTAAACATGGCGGTGTGTGGACATATGTGTAGAGGTGGATAGATAAAGGTAAGAGTGGTGTAGTTATCAGTATGAGTAAAAATGAGCTTGGTGAAAAGAAGTTATGTGAACTATTTCCAAAGTCCTTAAAAATGCATGAAAAGAAGGCAGTCTTAAAGGTGCAGGCCCCATCGGCTTTTCTCCATGATGATACTGCTTTGGCTAGATAGAAATGTCTGCTGTATGTATTTTAAACTGATCTATCTTCATGTAGACATGCAGATGACAACACTAGATTAAGTTATAAGTCAGATCTGTGCAGAAGTGACCCTCCTCAATGTAAGAATGTATGTTTATTAAAGTATGTTGAGCAATAAAAACATGAAATGTAATAAACGCATCTAAATTTTATGTGATTTTGTGGTACTTTCAGTGCAAAGCAATAACATCTCCATGGAGATAAGCAGGTGACAGACCCTCCAGAAAAGTTACACTGAGCAACCTTAAGATAAAACCAACAAACTCATCTTATCATAGGTCAACATATGTTTTTGTCGCTAATAGACTACAAACAACTTTTATTCAAAAAAGAGAAAAAGTATGTTATAGATAAAACAAGTGCCCTCATACAATACTAAAATTACAAACTTGTCTTGGTAGGAATAGGCTTGATACTTGATACGTATAATCTTATTCTCGTTCTGATAAAGCTTGAGGAATATTCAGGAACATTTCAGGAAATGTCCGATTTGTTTAGTATAGATATTTGTGAAAAGTGTCCAGTTTCTGATATTTTTGACAGCAAGATACAATACTACTCTGAGAAGTAAAGTTACTCAAGTGACTGTGACTGAGTAAAATTAATTCTATGCTGCCCACCTCTGCATAGTTCATAGCTTTGCATCATATATCACTATATGGTACTTGCCCCAAAATGCCCAAATGCACAATATTATTAAGTAAATGTTACTGTTTATCAAATAAGGCATTCATATCACAATCATTTCAATTCCCCTTTTACAGTTAAAAAGACCCTGTTTAAAGGGTCTGTACTTGATTTCAAAACATGAGGCAGGGACATGTTTTAAGTTTACTTGTAGACCCGCCAACTTAATACTTTCTGCCACTGTGATATTGCACTATGATAGAGAATCAAGTGTCAGGGATATAGTGTCAGGCAGTTTACAATTAATTATGTCCAACAAAGAGCTTAATTGTATATGAAAGGTGACTCTGGCTGACTCTTTTATGTGTGTTATATCAGAGTAATTGGACTTCTGTCTCTTTTGTGGGATCTGATCTGTTGACTTCAAAGAGCTCTTCAAGAGACTAGCTTTTTTACTATTTTACTATAATATGACAGATGTCAATTTTGTTGGAGAGCTTTTCAGCTTGTCCACCAATAATACAGCCCCCGGGACTTGAAAAATCAACATAGTATGATTTCAAAAGTGAACACTGTATGATCTTTGAGTGTTCAAGCCCTTTGACTCTGCTTCCAAAGGAGGAGGTTTATAAAGCAAGTGTGCTGAGACACTGAAGGCCAGTAGGCACCAGTTAGTCAGCAATATGCCACAATTTAGATAATGCTATGTCAATGGTATGCCAAGAGAAGATGATCGTGTTACTATAGCTCCTGTGAGTCACTGTTAAACTGAGAGATGTACATGGAGGATAAATGACATACATTCTCTTACAAATTTAACAGCTCAGTTGATCAACAAACTAATCAGAGAGAGAAATGACCAAGGCTCATATCTGTATAACGTGGTTAAAACTGAGAGTGGGAGAGTGTTTAGCCTTTGAAGTGATGAATAATCTAAATAAAATGTTGCTACTATAATAACTGCTATTATGATGGTAGATATGCTTTTTGTGCTCGAAGCTCTCACTTGTGTTGCCTGCTCTTTTTCTGAGCTGCTTCTTGTGTTGGTTCAATGTAAATCAATGTAGAAATGTATAAAAATTTGAAAGAAAAAGATTTGGTTCTTTTTAAAAATGAGACCTTGCTGAACATTCCACCATAGAGATACATGTAGAACACCCCCAGTGTGATGCCATCACTAATATCAATATTTTAACAGTCTCAATAAATTTCTTATTTAAATTATTATCATTATCTTAACGAGAATGAATTAAATCAATACATTTATGTTGTGTAAATGCAATAACATGTAAAACCAACATTTCTTTCTTCAGACCTCATGTTATTGTATGTCATTGTAAAGCCTGTTTATGGTACATGTGATATGTCCAGTGCATTAGCCTTGGGACCTTGTTTGCTCATGAGGAACCCATCCATCAAAACTCCCCGTGCATGGCTGCCAGCTGGGTCAGATGACACGTCTATTGTTATTGTCAGTAGCATTATAGCGCAGCTGCTACTCCCATTCAAATTACACAAATCGATAAAACAATACCTTAACAACTATATGAATTAATAAAAGCTGTTTGACTATCATGTTTTCATTGTAAACTATGTTATATTGCATTTGCAGGTACAATATGGCTTAAGCAGTCAGCCAATGAGAGGTGTCAAATCAACAGGTGGGGCGGGGCTACGGTTCGTCCAAGCCTGGGAGGTAAGGTAGAATTACATTGGCTTATACAAATACATATACTAGAATTACAGATAATATTTTGTCTTATTGCGTGCTGGATATTTCTGATACCAAATAGCACAAAAGACTTTACTCACATTGGGGAGACTGTGAAGGGTGTCCCGCAGCTTCACTTTGTATTATTCATGTTTTAAAGGGGAAAGTTTACTCTGGACATGGATGACATGGGAGATTCGTTTGAAGATGGGAGACAGAGTTTGGTGCTGGATGATGATCATTCTGAAGGTACAACTAGGATTTTGACTGAATTATAATGTTTTTTTTATTTAGGATCATTTTAGTTTTTTTTGCACATGTTTACCAATGCAATGTATGTATAATAAAGCTTCAGTTCTTCTATCAAAATCAAGTAATGACATATTTTCCATGACAGAATATAATTTTTTATTCACCTTTTACCTTTACTTCACCAAAGAGTTGTCAAAAGTATCGACACCCAGACACTAACTGATACTTAAACTAGTATTGGAAATAGATTTGGACAGGTATTGATACTGAAAGAATAGGTCATAGAACAGGACCAAATCTGACCTTTCCTGAATAGTTTTAGAATGATCATGATCTAGAGCAGAACTAATACAATGTCACATGTTAAACTTAAATTGAAGAATTTATTCTTTCACTTTTATTTTGTGTATATTTCTTTTGTTTAAAAACTTTATTATGATTGTGGCTTCAAAATCTGTATTGAAATCTGAAGCTTTTTCTTTAGTACTGAAAATTTTTAGTTTAAAATTTTAGTATGGTGACAACACACTACCACGAACCATATACCTATAGCAGACCTGGGCATTGTACAGTTCCTTAGTCCTTTAGTTGACTCTGACTGGCTCTGAGCTAATTTGGAATTACAAAATAAACATATTTTATAATTTTACATCATACATAGACTAAAGCTGCATTGCTTTTATTTTAGAGGTGTTTTTTTTGATTCATTTTTTGTAAGAAAACCTCAGTTTTTCATTGCTTAGTCATAACATAAACTCTTAGCAGTCTTACCAGCTCGTCAAAACAATGCTATTTACTGCTTTTTATAAAGAAATACAATTAATGTTATGCAGAACTGAGTTAAGCATTTCGTTTCTCATATTGCCCCATGGAAAAAATAATTGCCCACCTCTGCCCTATAACACCAAACCTGGTTCACTTTTGGTTATTTCAGTATGAAAAGGTATTTATTTTAATGCATTGACAAAAATCCTGTTTGATATTGGCATTTACAGTATGTAGATCACTATTATGACCCATTACGTAGTTTCACTGTAGCCAACATGAAAGGAAAAGGGCTGCTGACAATTTATCAGCATTAACATTTTGAATATGTAAATTATAATTTACCTAAACCTTTGCCAAAATTTTTTAGAAAAGACGTTTCTGCTATACAATTTTACTATTAAAGGTGCAATTTGTAACTTTCTGGAGTAGGGATCTCTGCCTGCTGGTCTCCATGGAGATATTATTGCCTGTCTATCTCCCTCGATTGAGACAAACAGGTGATGGTATCAGGCCAAGTTACAGGTCAGATCTGTGAAGAGGTAACCTAGCTCTAAGATGCATTTTTTTTTTTTTTTTGGCAATAAACAGCTGTTATTGAATAAATGTAAAATGGATACATTTAATGCAGTACTGTGGAACTTTCTAAGCCAACAGTACAACATCCATTGAGAAAAGCAGATGGTATACACTCCTCCAGAAAAGTTACATAATGCCCCTTTAATTTTGCCAGGCTAATCCTTCAATAATACCATAACCTTCAGATTTAGACTGCCTATTAAAGCTATTTTCCATCTCTGTGCTGTGCTTGTTGGGCTATAGACTCACCAGGTTGCGCTTACCTGCACAAGCCGGTGATCGCCATGGTGATGGGATCTCTGATGTCAGCGGTGGGGGTCGTCTTGCTCCTCCTGCACATGTCCCAGGTGGGCTCGGCGTGTCTGTCCGTCGGCCTCATGTTTGTGATGGTGGGGCTGGTGTGGGTCCCTGTACTCAAGGAGAAGCACCGGAGGAAGAGATGTGCACTGGGAGAGTGAAAGCAAAAACTGGACTATTTTCTATATTCTTAAAATTATCAATGGAATATACCTGTATTTTTCTAGAGCTTCTCAGCATGTTATATCATTGTTTCCTCTTCAAAAACAGAGTCATCCATGCATGTTTGAGTAATTTAGCAATCTCTCCTGGGTCCTATTTGAGCCCTTCTTAGCGTTAGCAGTATAGGCCTGTACAATGTTCATCCCACAAGCCTGTCATTCATTAGCCAGGCTGGCGCCACCTAGTGCCTCCGCTCAATTTAATTTCTCTCCATCGACTAAGTCAAGAATCAAAATACAATAGATGGTTCACAAAAACCCCGGAAGTGCACCAGCCAATGAACGAAGAGCCAACGAAGAGTGATATATTCAGTTTTGTCATCGATTCACGAGATCGAGGATCTAAAGCCGGAACAAAGAGAATGCCTGGTGAATATCATCAAAGATATTAAAGATATTAAAAAGGAAAGACGTTATTGTCCTTCTTCCAACGGGATTTGAGAAAAGCTTAATATACCAGTTAGTCCCGTTAGCGGCGCATTACATACATCACGACCAAATAGCAGCGATTGGTTAAATGATAAAAAGTACCCTCCTACCATTGAGCGAACGAAATCTAAGGCTGCTAGGTCAGACAGTTTGTATGAAGTGAAACTAAGTAAAACCCGCTGATGAATCAGGCTAGTCATTCATGCTCCCACACTACAATTTTCCATATATATACACAAAAACATTATACAAAACTGTACACAACTGGAACTCAACAGACCTGAGATAAACAGACCTGACCTGTAACTTGACCAAGTGTTGTTACCTGCTCGTCTTTATGGGAACAGATACGTTTAATACCATATTGTGAAATATGTCATGCAAAGAAATAATTAAAAGTTACATAGTGCACCTTTAACTAGACTATATTAACTTCATTCTTTTTGCCTTATATTGATTCTCTTTCATTACAGTTATTTCACTATGACATATGTTGACTTACTGGAATGACACTATTTTGGTAGGAGGTTTTCCTTTAAAACCGCCTACCAAATACTGTCACAAGCTGTTGTGGCCTTTTACTGATAACTGCTTCAGACTTTGATCAGTGCAGTTACCTTTATATTTCTCTCATGCTTTCCAATGTTCTATCAACTTGACCAACGCTGGATACAAATTGAAGAATTTTAATTATAACTTTTTGCTTTTCAAATCCACTATGTCGACATCTGTCCAAGTCGAGCATGTTACGGAGAAGGTTTATGGAGGAGTTGGACGCTGCAAGTGCTCCTTTTGGTTCGCAGTTGCTCATGACATCTTGGGAGTTTTTATAATCATGGTTGGAGTTTTTGGAGGTCTGGCTGTCCATGATTTGTTTGTCTATGCCGGAGCTATCATCATCTTCTTGAGCCTAATTTGGTGGATCTTCTGGTACTCTGGAAACATTGATGTGCCTCCGGAAGATCTGCTGGATGACGTGGGCCTTCAGAAAGTCAAAAACCGAGGACTGACTAAAGTGGTGAGGAGGGTTTCCGATCGGCTCTCCACTGGGATCAGGAATTCTTTTAGGAAAAATGGGAAAGGCAGTATGCGTGGTTCTACAGCAGGACCAGCAGTGGATCAAGATGTCAGGCTTGCAACTATTTTTGACAACAATATTATCTCATCACCTTCTATGGAACTGACAAGGAACTCATTAGTCATTTAAAGACTGCAAAGTATAGGTTTAAATAGATATTTCCTTTGCTTCTAAAGGGGTTTTGCATTTCAAACATGCACTTACTGTAATGATTAGACAGCACTGTAGAGATAAGAGGCTTGTGTCCATATCCAGCTGATAAGATACAAACTCCACTCAGTGTCACTTGTGAAGATGGACTCATGATAAATAAACCCTTTGTTTTTATTGATAATTCACTGATTCACATGAAGCAATGATGGAGTGATGTAGGGTGTGGTGTTTGTAACTAAAAAGCACATGACGTGTTTGATAAATGTTGTGTGAGTATCAATATTTAAGTTTTTGTTGATAAAATGTGCAAAACATTTGTTAGTATGCAGCAATTTGCATGTTAATATAATGAGTTTTTTAAAGTCAGATGCCTTTCCTGACTTAAACTGCTGTATTTGTCTTGGTTTAGGACTACCACAAAGATGTTTTGAAATGGGCATATATATTATATGCACTCATATATTGTATGTAGGCTATATGTATAAAATACATATCATTTCTGTCTGCTCTATTTTACTTGTCAATGCAAGCACTCCATTGAAATCAATAATCTGTGAGTTTTATTGATATTTGAGTGTTGAAAATAAAATAATAAGTAATAAAATAATATGCATGGTGAATTGAGTCAAATAAATAAAGGTTTTTATTAAAACTAATGTGACTGCAACAAGCTCAGCCTCAAGCAGCAGGGTACAACACAGACAATAACTTCATTTATTTTCAGTTATTATATCATAGGCTGTAGCCTGTGGCCTATTATATGTTTATTATATTGTAATGTGTAAGGTACTGTGTAATTTCCTTTGAGGGTTATCAACTTTTGTGAATGAAACAAAACACAACTCTTTTTGAAGAGGTAACAACATTCTAACATGGCTTAAAGCTCACAAGAGTCAGTTTTGCATATTTATAGGACCTTCAGATAAAATTATTAAAATATTGATTGCTTGTGCCACCACAACAGTCTCGGTATAAACCTGTAGATACACTGCTATTGTAAATAAGCCAATTATAAACTACTCTTGACTACAACTCCCAGCAGGCATCGCACATGATATGACACCAGTGTGTTGTGTCACGTGACCCCAGCACGGCGCTTTCAGTTCTGTCTTCTTTTACCGTATCACTGGTTCCAAAACGCTTTCCTTTTAGCTTTGACACGTCCACCACGCATCAGACAGCTTCCAATATGGCTTCTACTCTTCACTCTCTGCAGTTTAGCATCTTTATTCCGCACGATCACGTCTAAATTATCACACTTTATATCACATTGTTCTAGAGGCTATCTCTGCAGGCCTCCGTGTTTACCGACTCACCATCAGCGCTGCAGCCGCGTCTAGGTGCATGCAGATCGGGCACTGGACAAGCATGGACCCGATCTCTGGCTAGTCACGTTTATCGTCTTTTTAAAGTCTTTTAGAGGAGTTTTGTGCTTAGCTTGGATGCTATTGCTAACGGCGGAGGGCTGTCAACATGAACGGTATGTACTTTCATTTGTTTTTGTTAGCTACTTAGCATATAACAGTGCATGTACACCGCTGCTCTAGTGCAGTGCATGATTTCATTTGATGGTTGAACGATCAGACAGTTAGGCATTTTTGCTTAGTTCAGAAAAGCTAGGGTTGAAGCAGGTACTTCCTCAATCTTGCATATACTTGTTGAAAGGTTTAAGCAAGCTATTAAATCACAAAGAAATGGTAAAGTATTACAACACTTACATATTTCTAGTTTGCATAACTAAACCAAACTAAAACAGTAGCAGCTGCATTGTTTTTGATGTACCACGTGAATCTTTTGGGTACCCATGTGACTGCAGTTTTCTTCAATGATAAACATAACGTGGGGTCAATGGTTGTTATTAAGGGAGCCTCTGCATTGGTCATTGAACAATAAGTTCTTTATAACAGGGGTTACAGTAGCAAGACATTTACAACGGTATAGTATATAGCAACAAAAAAAGACTTTAGTACTAGTAATGATATTGTACTAATGATGTATTTTAGATATATAGCTCTTTCAAGACACCCAGAGTGCTTCACATGAATTATTTATTTCTCCAATCATGACCTATCACTCAAGCACACACATACCACATTCATACTAGGCAAGAAGGGGGAAGTGTCTTGCCTATGGACATAAGAACAGTATGGACTAATTTCAGCAAAGGTCTCCCATCCAAGTACAAACTAGGCCTGGTTTTGCTTAGTTTCCAAGATCAGACAAGATTAGGAGCATTCAAGTGTAATTGCTCATATAAAATAACTAAAGGCATTGGCTGAAAATACTACTCAAGTTGACTTGTATTAGGACATTTGGATTATTTATTTATTTATTTAAGATTTATTTACCAGGCAAAATTGAACACATTCCTATTTACAATGCTGAAAGAAAAACTAAAAATTTTGTTAAATTTCTAACATGGTACTTCCCAAGCACTTCTGACCTTTTATTATTACAAGATTACCTATCCACTTTCGTTTTCACGCCTCAGCTTGTATAAGAGAGGTTTTATTACACAATGTGAAGCTTGTGCTGTTAATCCTTTACTAAAACAGTATAATCTTGTATTGTGCTTTCTTTGCAGGCACTCAGCAGACTGATACAAAGAGACAGCACCTCCTGGAGAGGCTGCTGGATGCTGTCAAACAGGTGAGCATCAGCACTCATTATAACAAGCTTCACCAAAGCTCACATTTATTTTTTCAGTTTGTTCTATACATTTATATTAATTTCAGTGTTTTTTGTTTTTGAAAAGTTTGCAGTTTCAAACATATTAATGGCCTGGTAATAACATGATTATACCTATTATAAAATTAAATCTTTGGATTATGATAGAACCAAAGGCTGGTCAAGGCATTTTAAAGGAGAAAGTAGTTTGTTTTAAGTCCGTAGACATCAAGAAGCTTATGCAAACATACTATCCATACAATTTCATGCAATGTGTCAGACCAGACTGTTAAAAAAAATGTATAATTGTCATAGCATCTAACTCAAAAGCAAAAGTCATAATTCTCTTTTTTTTCTTTCAGTGCCAAATCCGGTTTGGGGGAAGAAAAGAGATTGCCACAGACTCTGATAGCAGGTAAACCAACTCATGAAACATAATGAAACTTCTGTTCAGTATTTGACTTGTTGGGCAACTGGTAACAATCATGTGTTTCACTTTCGGAAGCTATTATAAAGACATGCTTCCACTTTTGTTTATTTATGCTGTCAGAGAAGACCTTGAACTTTAATTACGGGGATATTAACTACAAACCATGACAACAAATCTGACCTGTTCTCCAACTCAATATTAAACTATAAGGTTTCTGGAATTTTGTGATTTCAAGCTGAACCAAACCTATCCATGAATTTCAGAATGATGAAAGGACTATGACCATAGCAACTAACAATTGAAAAAAAAAATACAGCTTTTAAATGGGAAAAAGGAACTTACAGGAAGCAGAAACCAAAGAACTGAGTAGATTGGCAGCAAGCCCAGTTTTATACTTCTTGCAAACCACTGAAATAATCTTTTACATCATTGTGGTTTTCTGTGGTAATGACTTATTTATAGCCAGAAAACATTAAGTTGTTCCCTGTAAAATGTGAAAGGGCCATTCATTGTTATTTTCTGATCTATGTTATAATGTTGTTTCCTCATTAAACATACTAAGGGCTATGCTTTGTTTCATCCACAAACAAAACACAACTCCAGGTATGTTTTTGGTGTGGTAACACCATTATAACGTGGCTTAAAGCTCACAGGAGTACATTTTGTGTACTATAGGACCTTTAATATATCTGTTGTGTTTTTCTTTGTTAGGGTGATTTGTCTATGCGCCCAGTTTGAAGCAGTTTTACAGCATGGTCTGAGGAAAAGCAGAGGACTGGCCCTCACAGCAGCAGCACTCAAACAGGCGGCAGGATTCAGCAGCAAGACTGAAGGAGGTAAGGGATTGTGCGGAGAGCCTTGTCCAATGGTAACACAAGATAGATTTTGTACTCAGGAAATCTAAAATCAATGTCCTAACAACAGTGATTAGACAAATGCATTCTGAGGTTTTCTTTGCACAGTTCCAGTCACACATTTTCAACTTGAAATTTCTTCTAATTTTTCTCTCTGAATTTGCTGCAACAAATCAGTCTTGTAAACTGCTATATACATTTTCTATTGAGGTGATTCACTCAGTAATGACTCTCAGCCAGAATATCATGTATTAGTGTAAACCAAGGGTCTCCAACCTGTAGCTCGGGAGCTACCAGTAGCTCTCCACCCTCTTCCAAGTAGCTCACCATGAGATTTTTGAATTATATGTATTTTACATATTGCATTGAATAACTAAAATTTGATTGATTAAATGACTATTTCCATTGTAAATGTATAATTTTGATGCCTAGCTTTGTAAACTGATCAGTGGATAAGGGTTTATGTTTTATAGGCCTCTAACTGTACCTCGTCTGAGGTACAGTTAGAGCTGTAGAGCTGTAGAGCTGTAGCTGTAGAGTCTGTTATGGCCTTATACTTCCTCAGTTTCTGGCAACTGCTAAACTAGCAGATCTCTGGCATTTTCGTTTTACTGAAAGTAGCTCACAGGAGGAAAAAGGTTGGAGAACCCTGGTGTAAACTGTATATTCCAGTGTTGTTTTAAATGATTGAAAAATGTTAACTTTTGGATAATATGTAGTAAAGGTCCTATATTACACAACATATTAACAGCTACGTTTTACCTTTATGTCAGTAGAGACTGGCAATTCCAGGGCTGAAATTATCCAAATGATTCTAGGTGTATGGAGATAAAAAACACAATGAACACTTCCTTAACATGTGTGAACAAGACAAACCGCGAGGTATGTTTTTGATGAGGAAATAACATTATAACATATATCAGTAAATAGCATAATATGGGTCCTTTAATCTCTGTGTGACCTCAGGCAGAGTTACGTGTGGATCATATTACAAATAAATGACTATTAACATTTTCTACTTACACTTTTATAGGCTTATAGGCATTATGCTAAATGCGCACACCCTTCTTTACAATATGCAAAGCTTTAACATCATTTGCAGCCATTTCAAATCACAATGAATATTTAGCTGCTGTCTCATGGTCTGTATTTCCATTTATGTAAGTTACAATAATATAGCAGCTATTAATTCCACTCAGTTGAGCCAGTCATGACTTTTGTAATGGCCCCACTTCCCATTATCATTAGCATATCTGACATTTTTCTGTTCTTTCACCCTCGCAGAAGGAAGACAGATTTTAGTGTTCCCTAATGAAGCTAGCCCCACTCAATAAGCCTAAAACAGCAGATGCATTTTTCACCTTTTGAGTCAAGGTCATACGCTCATTGTCGATTCCTTCTAATTAAAAACTTTACATTAAAAAGAGGCCCTGAGCTGAGTTTGGTCATTTCCTACAGTAACAGGAACTTTCAATGGCTTTGTTAACAAGAATATATTATTTTCCAAGTTTATGCAAATAGACCAGACCATATTGCTTTCCTTATGATCTCGTTGTCCAAGTGCATATGAAGTTCACAAAAACATAGTTAACATAATTACAGTATACTTAAGTTTTCTTTTTTATTTTGGTGAAGTTTATCATTTTACTTCCTGGTTTGACATGGACAGCAGATGTGACATATGTAGCGGTAATTCCATAACCATTAAAGGTTCTATATTACACAAAATTATCTCTTACATTCTTTAAGCCATGTTAGAATGTTGTTACCTCATCAAAAACATACCTGGAGTTGTGTTTTGTTTCATTCACACGTCTGTCTACATTCCCAACATGCTCTGTTCCACCTTGTGATGTCATGTTGTAGTTTTCAAGTTATCAGCTACCTTTTACCTTTAAGTCAGTGGAGACTGGCAATTCCAGGGATGAAATCATGCAAATGCTTCTAGTGAAAGTGTATGGAGTTTAAAAACACAGTGGAGCACTTCCTGTATTTGCAAATTGTCTCTGCATTGTGGATCAAATTTTCTGTGTTGATGACCTAGGTAGAGGTATTATATTATATATTGTATATATTATATATAGTTTTCTTCTAAACCTTTTTCCACTTAACGGATGTAAAACTCTGATATAAATATTTACCACAGGTACTATCCCACCAAATCTACTCATAAGCAGAAAAACATGAAAAACATGTGAGGCACTGTACCTGATTTTTACTGTTTTAAAAACATGAAAAACAGATTTAGTTCCTTTTAAGCATTTTGCAGTCCAAAGTTATTTGTCCCTTACCTTTAGAATCAAGAATCTTAATTATTCACAGTAATAAATTTATAAGTGCTTTTCACAACTTTCAGAGACCAGAGCCAAGTTTTGCTGTGATATGACGATAAAGCTATCAACAACTAGCATGCTAATGTGCATTTCGTGATTATCTGACAATAAAAGGCTTTTTAATTAGATGCAGAGAGACACAGTGGACATATTTTGACCTCAAGATCTGCTTATGCAATATATCTATACTGGATTCTCAAATACGTGGGAAAATCGGATACAGGGGTTTTAAACTTTTTAGTGCTGCCCTCTTTAACTTTTTTTGTATGTTTCGCAGATTTGACCTTCTGGTTCTACGTGAAGGAGCACTTGAATCGCCACGAGCTGCAGCGGTTTTATTCTCTGCGTCACATCTCATCGGAGCTGGGCAGGGGGCGGGCCTGGCTGCGCTGTGCCCTCAACGAACACTCGCTGGAACGCTACCTGCACTCCTTAGTGGCCGACCGCACACGTCTCAGGTCTGTTTACCACCACATACAGACACTTTAGAAGGCTGGAAAAATGTTATGCTTTTCATGTGTATAGAGTAAGTATATTGTTTACATTACCTTGGGTCCCTGTCATGAATACAAAGCCCTTTCATTGCCCGCTCTCTGCGTAGGAAAAACTACTTCAAATGGATAAACTGTTGTGTAACGAGCTTTTCTGGCACTAAAAACACATGCCACACTCCAAAGTCACCTCATGCGTCTATTAAACACAGATGCAAATCTAGTTTGTTACAATGATTCATGTTATTTTGTGTGTTTTTTTGTGTTGTTTTTGTTTTCCAGCACATATTATGAAGATTGGGCTTTTATTCTGGATGAAGAGAGAGCCAGTATGCTCCCCACTATGGCTGCAGGTCACTTTACTTCACGTGCTTTGTTCCAGCTATAGAATTAGTTATAATCTAATGTAAAGGTGAACCAAGGAACTTTTCTGATGGAGGGTCCACTGCCAGTTTTTCTCCCTGGAGACATGGATGAGGCTGCAGATGATGCCACCAGGCCACGTTACAAGTCAGATCTGTGGAGAAGCAAGCCTGCTCAATATCTTAATAGATGCAATAGATATAGTTAATGCTGAAACATTCCATTGAAAGCAGTAACTTTTCTAAGGCGACAAGCATGTAGTGGACCCCCATTTGAAAAGATACATAGTTCACATTTAAAAGTGGTCAACACATTAAACTATGTTTTCATGTGGACATGCTATTACTCCTCATATGCATTCATTATAACAGGGCATACTTCTGTTACAGTTTAGCATACCAATAGCTTAACCTGTATTGTAGGCAGCTAGCTAAGACTGTCCAACATTCCAGTTTAGCTAATATTAGCACAAAAAGTCCCTTCAAGTGTTTCTTGCCCCACTTGTCACTCTTGTGGAGTTACTCATTGGACTCCTGACACTGCACTTTTCATGGCTCAGTTAAACAGAAAGCACCTCTCAAATAAATATTATCATAACTATGAAGTATTCATAACCACAACGGAAACAAATGTAAAATATTGATGTTGTGTTTCATTGATCTGTTGCCAGAGTTCATCCACAAGTCTTTCTTGCATAATATTCCTGCTCTGCTAACATCTGCGCTGTAAAATACCTACCAAGCACTTTCTGTAACCCATGTGATGTTACTGTATTTTGATCTTGAATTGATTTGGCTGTTGTTTTTCTCAGGCTTGAACTCCATTCTGTTTGCCATCAACATTGACAACACAGACCTGAACGGAGGAGTGACTCGTGGTGGGGGCTCGTCTGTGTCTAACCTGCTCAAAGAGTCCACACAGGGCATCGGGAGCCTGCTCAAGGAGTCCACTCAGGGGGTCAGCAGTCTGCTAAGGGAGATCAGCACTGCCACTGCTGTAGTACCCGGATTCACCCCTAGAGGCGACGGAGGCTCCGACCCACTGCCAGTCCTGCCACGGAGCACCTCTGCTGGTAAGACGCTGCTGTTGTAGAGAGAAGGTTCAGGTTCCAAGGTTTTTTTTTCTCTGTTGTGGCCCAGTAGTGGCATCCATAGACTGTTTACAGAAGTGGACTAAGGGGCACCGTGCTGTTATACTTGGCCCGTCAAGACTAGCAGGTTTAGTGGCTAATTTGGAGCCAAGTTCCATATTTGGAATTCTTGAGTGCATGCTTCATAGAGTGAAGTTTTTGAAAATACCTGCCCCTTCCCACCTGCACTGCTGGTTTTGCAACAAGATGTGATAGCTGTCAATCAAAGCTGTTGCTAATACTGGCTGGAGCTGAACTCAGGGAAAGAAGGCACCTGATTGATCTGTCATTATTGTACATATCTTGATTTAAGGACAATAGAGAAATAAAAACAGCAGTTACAGAGAGAGGGCTCACTATTTTTCAGTAGAAAGTGGTTTGGATCCAGACTTGAAGGAGGCAATTTGCTAGGTTATCCACCTGTACTTAATGTCTATGGTGGCCCCATGGTGTCCTGAATCTTCAATTTTGAGAATTTATTTCTATTTTTTGTAAAATTTCACAAAATATGTTATTTACCATGAAATATATTGCATGAGCCTTTGTGCCAAGAGGCCAATCAATGTTCAGGACAGGGAATTAAATGATGCCCCTGATTAGAACTGCCAGTTTTCTGATTACATTTTCCCTGCAAAATTAAATTTAAAATTGTAAAATTGCAAGTTGTACCGCAGTAAGAGCATCTCATCCTTCTCCAAACATGATGCTGTCTTGCTGCATTGGCTAATATAGCATTTGCTGAATAAATGTTTCTTCACTGGCAGACATTTTTACAATGTTGACCAGTTGCCAATCAAATCCCATAAAGGGTCCTATCGTCCCATACTAATTGAACAGAACATTTTATAGATGTGTAATTAAATTTTTTGTTGTGATATGACAACACTAATACTTTTGTGTGTAGACTGCAGAATAGACAGATAGTAAGAGTAAGATGAAAAGTAAGACAATAAGAGTAATGTTAGTTTAAGTAGAAGTACAAAGTAGTGGTCCATGAAAAACAAGGAAAACTACTACTCGTCTGATTTATCATTTGAAGTGAATGTCATTTGAAGAGCAAAACATTAAATGATGCACAAAACTATTTTCAGAGAATAGAGACAAAAATGAGAAAAACAACATTACTTTGAAATCTTTCAATATCAAAGTAAACTTTTTGTCAGATGTAGACTTTTTCACTTTTACTCTGTACTGTTGCTCAAGTAAGAATAAAAGTATGCTGCCAGAAAAGTACTCATGTTCAAAAACTTACTCAAGAAACACAAATGTACTAACAAATTTACTAAAAAATGTAACTGAGCACTACCCGCCTGTGATTATGACCAAGGAATGTGTTCTAGAAACTTCCCTTTCCTCTGCATTTTTAAGTCTTTTTTTTTTTCATTAACTTTTCAGACTCTGGTCTTCGAAAAGAGCGACGCAAGAAGAAAAAAATCACTAACATCATTTCCTTCGACGACGACCTGGATGGAGGCGCGGAGGATGAAGAGGAGGCAGAGGAGGACCACCAGAACAATAAGAGTCTGAGAAAAAGCCACACCGCCCCTGCCCAGCCCCAAAGCAGTGTGGAGGAGGGGGTAGACCCATTGGAGAACAGCTACTCGGCCTCTCCTGCCCAGAACGGAGTGATGGAGGCAGGGATAGTGAGCTGGGTGGGCTCCCCTCACCCATCCAGGACCCCACCCTTGAGCACCCCTGTCCTGCCCGACAGCAAGAGCCTGGACAACGAAGAAGAGGAGGAGGAAGAGGAGGTGTACAAGCCCAGAGCGCAGGAGCAAGAGGAGGAGAGGACCAGCTCGGAACAGTGAGTTGGGAAATGCCTCATTCAAATATGTGTACAATAGTAGTTCAGGATTTCCTAAAAATGCTTTCCAATTCCTCTACTAATAGTTACAACTTAAATTTTGCTGAATTTTTGTATTGTTATCTTTTTGGAGCTTTCTATGTAATAGCATTCCCTCATCAGAAACATGTCATCTCCCCTGGACCCTATTCAAACCGTCCTTGTGGTTAGCAGTGTGATCCTGTACATGACATCTTTCATAAATATTCAAAAGTTCAAAACAATGCACCACAAGTTCACAAACCTGATGCAATGTGCAGTCGATTCATTAGTGGAATACATGCTGATTGTGATGTGATAGTGCCCTGAAGGGAGAGTGAAGGGAGGGCAGAGCGGACTCGGAGCATCAAAAATGAAAACTTAATGTTAATACTTTGTTTTTGGCAAATATAGGATTTACATAACAATAAAAGTTGTGGTGATGGTGATCTAAATATGTGTTGGCAGTTCATAACTCATAGAAGTAGTCACTTGTTTAAATGAAAATGTTGTCTATTATTATGTATTTTAGCTTACCAAGGCCTAAATTAAGATAGATTTTATGTTTGTTTCATTCTAAATTATTGTGTTTTTTAAAATATTGCAAAAATATCCACCTTAATAAATATAAAGTGTATATTTAATTAAAATTAAGGTCTTGTTATTCATATGAAATATTGTTTAAAGCCAAAATTTTACCTTAAAATACAGGGCTTTTTTATGAAAATAGTTTTGCTGACAGGTATTCAAATCTCACGTGATAACTATAGAATAATAATGTGTGTGTTTATCAGACTGGTGGTGGGCAGTCTGACCAGTGTGTCCACATGGAGCCCCCTGCAGGTGATGGTAGAGCACAGCAGCTCGGATATCCTCATCCCTGTCAATGCTGCAGACCCCCAGCCAGGTAAGAAGTCACTTGCAGTCAGATGCATAATTAATAAGACAATGTCATTAATTAATTGGGCATGCACCAAGTTATCATTATTTAAAATTTATGTAAATTACTTTTTAACAATGTTTCCTCATCATTGTTGATTAATGCACGTTTGAGTAATCCTTTATTGTCCTGGCATCAACACAGTACCTACTGATTACAGCTGGTTAAAAATGTCATATAGCCATTTTTCAATACTTTTCTGTTTTTATATAGTGAACAAAATGTAAAAAAAAGCATCATATGTCTCCTTTAAATCTTGTAGTTTTTCCTGCTTGCTCTGCTATTATTGGCTTGGCTGAATGGATCAAAACTGTACACTTTGTCTCGTTCTTCCAGTAAGCTCTGTGGAAGACACAGCAGCATTTCCTGCTCAGATCGACAGCACTGGGCCCACAGACAACTGTGAGAGCAGCAGTGTGCAGCTAACATTCAAGTAAGACATATAATAGACTTTTCATTTTAATTCAAATCCTTAAATATGAGTTTTAGATATTTGATTGTATGTGTATATTTCAGTATGGAGTCGAGTTCCCCTGCCCAGCCTGCTCCTATCTCTACAGCTCTGCCGACGTCTGCCCTGCCAGAGTCCATGTCTGTGGGTGAGTGTTGTCTTTTCTCTCTGGATCTTCTCGTTTGGATTGTTCCTAAACTGGTTTTGTCACTTGAAACGTCACGGGGTATCCCACATATCAGATTTAAAGGAGAAGCTCAAACTATTTGATAGCTGGCTTCAAAATCATAGTTACAAATGTAAAGACGGGTCTATGAATCTCAAATGACCACCAGCACTGAATGATTCCCTTTGCAGTAGAAGTAGTAGTTGTGTGTAAGCTGAATGGAAGTAGATAAACCGTACACCAAAAATGCTAAAATGAATATTGTGCAAACACTAAAAGTCACTAATAGAAATGATCAGTAAAGTTTGCCTTTCAGATATTTTCTGTGATAATGACGTATGAAACCATTATGGGAACGTGTCTCTTGCCCCCCAACTATGACATCATCATATTTTAGAATTTTAAAAAATGGATAGATGCATAAACAGTAATATTAAAAACTGATTTTAGAGTCATGTGGTATAGTTATTCCTATTTGTGAATAAATTCTTTAAGCAGCCAATCAGGAACCTGTGCACTGTACGTATTCAAGGCAAACCTGCTCACCCATGTTTCATGTGACATGGCTGTTTGTATCAGAAGAGCTGATTCTAGTATTTCCGAATAACATACACCACACATTTGCCCAATTGTCTTTTGGTAAATCTCCTTTAAATCAGTTCTGTTTTCTTTAAGGGCTTATAGTAGATCATGTTTATTCAATTTATTTATTGGTTTATTGAACAGGGACAGCATATATTAATCATCATTTTTGTGTATGTACCAGAGTTAGATATGTTTTATAAATATGAGCATTAATGTGAAAATAACCACTTTTTCTATGTTGCATATAATATTAATAAATTAGTCCCATCCATATCTCCAGTATCTTGTGATGAAATACTTACTATGCTCACCAGGTGGCACTGTTGCCCTTTAAAATAACTATTAATACTCATGCCCTTTCCTCTAGGCATCTGCAAAAATAGAAGAGCTATACTGTGAACAACTCCACTCCTATTAATACCAGCTAACAGATTTGAGATTTGGACTGAATATTTGCGTTATAATTGATTCATAGATGCCCAAAGAGCCTTATTCTGCTCAGTCTGACACGTGGCTCTATCTGGTGGTACTGTTGTGAAGGTGGCAGAAATAGACACAGAGCACCAGAGTGAGCGGAGGTGGGTGGGGGTGACTCAAAGCCCAGTCTATTAGCCTTTTGTGAGGAGAGGTCACAAGGTCACGCAGAGAGGTGGTCATCTAAAAAACACTGGTGCAAAAGGAGATAGAAATAGTCTTCAAAGTCCTGTGAAGGTTGAGAGAAACTCGGAAAAGATGTAAAACTTGAGATATAGGCAAGGAGGAAATAAGAGCTACCACTCATCTTTGAAATAGTGGGTTTTGTCACAACTGCTGTGAATAGACAGGATTGTACATTCACTAGAGTGTGTTTGGTCACCTACCCTAATTAGACTTAATAAAGTTTGAAGAAAGATTGAATTCATAATGAACACGTAGCTTATAAATAGTTTAAGATTGCTTGTGGCGTAGTAACTACTTAATTATGGGATTAGTATCAGGAGTTAAGATATTCATTAAACAAGCATAAAGGTTGTGGGTTGGACTCTTGGGCCGCCTCGTTATATTGAACCTATATTTTTTCAAAACTGTCACGTAGTTACTTTACATGATAAACAAGAGTTACAAAACACTTTTGGATAATTGTTTACAACACGTCATTTGTGTTAAAAGGAAATAAATAAAATCTTCAGTCATCCCAGATTGATGTGTAGCACTCAAGTCAGAGAGCCACATATATCAGTCTGGTGAGAGCCAAGTTAGAACCAAATAGAAAAAAGCTTTTCAAAGCAGTAGTAAATTTGAAAAAATGTTAATTCCATTTCAGAATCAAGGAAGAATTTAATTGGTAGACATAGATTTTTCACATGAAATAGTTTAGTTACTGTCAGTTTGATTTATTTTATTTTATTGGAATGCCCCTTGAGATGCCATCGTGTTTTCAATACAATAGACAAAATACAAAACTTACATGTTAACATTACCTCCAGACATGCTCCCTCATGCACTCCCAACTCCTACAACAGTACTTGATTCATATAAAGAAAAGACAAACTAAAAGCATAAACAACTAGTTCTGAGATATGAAAATAAAGATGATTTAAATGAATTGAAAGATGTTAAGGGTGTGGGTAATCCATTCCAGTCTGAAGGGGCTTTGTACTGAAATGATTTACGTCCAACTTCTTTGTAGATTCGGGAAACAGAAAAATTGACACAGTGGGTGCTTCTAAGTGAATATGACGATATTACTGTTACTAAATATTGATGTAGATAATGAGGACAGTTAAAGTAGTTAAATTTAAAGATTAGTTGAATCCAATGAAACTGATGTCTGTTGTATGGTTGTAGCCAGTTGTGTTTTCCAAATAAAATACAGTGATGATATGGTATGGGTATTTAAGAATCTACATCTATCTACAATCTACAAGACATCTACAGAGAGAGGTAAAGAGAACATTCAGTGGTTTCAGATGTAACTCATGTATATTTTGATCAACTGTGATAAGTCAGTAAGATGAGTAAAAAACTATAAACACACATGGGAATACTTACATGTCTGATTTAATACAGTCACAGTAACTAAAGAAAAAGTCTTTTTACTTTGCCTCCACAAACATAGAGCCTTAGGATCTTTCTAATGAACACACAGCTCTATTATTCTCTATATCCACAATCTGGCCTCTTCAAACACAATTCATGAGCTAAAATGATTCATTTCAAGTGTTATTGTCTATTGTAGAGCTCCATAGTCCCAATGTGAACAGCCTCATCCCACTCGATGGGAAGCTCTTGTGGCTAGTGCGTATATACTCAATTACAATGTACTTTACCAAAACATACTTACCCTTATTTCTATTAAAATTTTTTTGGAGGGGAATTATAAAAATACACTGAATTTTGGTGAAATACATAGAAAAAAATCTTGTACAGGCCCTTTAATATGCCAATATATTACCAGCATATTGCTATCTACAGTAACACAGTGTGAAAATTCATTCAGAATTCCTGAAAATCTTGTCTGAATATTGAACGTGTGTAGGCTGCAGTATGAGTGGGCAGGAGCAGGAAGTGCACTGCGGAGTTCTATGTGATTGGACAGTATGGAGCTCTATAATTCACAAAGCACCTTGATTACACAGCCCTGGCTTTTAATGCATCTATTATTGGAGTTGTTCACAGTTCTCGTAGACAGGGGGTGTCAGGCTGTAGTCTTCTAATGGAAAAGCAATGGTGGACCCTGCTGTGAAGAAAAAACGAAAGGTCATTTTTATTTCTGGTGTGGAGAAATAAGAAGGTGAAATCGTATAACTCAGATGGTCTTGTAAATAAATTCCTCCAAGCAACCAGGGCAGAAAAAAATGTTTTCTCTGAATACTGAATTTAAACCTTTTATCTCGTGAGGAGGATTAGAACTAGTATATGCAAGAGACACCTTACTGATGTCAGATTTCCTCAAGGAATAGAAATCATGATCAAACAAAAAGGACAAAAATGACAAATGAACATTTTTTGGGATTTGTGCACTTTGCACATATTCTATTGCATGTTGGTCTCTATGGAGACGTCATTGCTTTGCCTGCATGTTCCACAGTATGGCCTTAAACCAGGGGTCTCCAGTCTCCACGGGTCTGCCCCTTTCAAGTAGCAAGTACCAATGGATTTCTGAAAATTTCTGTTACATATTGTGCTGAATAACAAAAAATGAATTGCCATTATAATTGTATAATTGTAATGCTTAACTGTGTGCACTAATAAATGGATAATTATATGGATAATGGACAAGGCATTTAACTGTTCCACATCTAAGGATTTCTGTGGCTCCTTTTGTTCTCTTTTTATTCTCAGTTTCTTGCAACCGCTAAAATAAGTATCTCTCTGGCCTTTTCATTTTGTAAAGGTAGCTCACCGGAGGAGAAAGGTTGGAGAGCCCTGCCTTAAACTAATCTATGTTGCATTATTCAGTTGCAGATATTTTATTGTTGCTAAAAATATACTTTTAAAGCACTGATTCTTACTGCGAGTGATCTCACCTCTACACAGAGCTGACCTGTAGCTTGGTCTGCTTGTTGCCTGTTTCCATGGAATAAGGCTATGCAATATAACAGTGATCTGACTCCTGTGACAATATGTTATTTTGGTCTAATCGACATACACATTTAGTGGTCAAATTGTTATAAAGGCGCTAAAATGGTGTGATATGAACTCTGGCATATTACCCACCCCTTCAATAACATCGTCAGCAATATATGGATATCTTTAACATCTGTGAATTCAATGTTATATATATACTGTTATATATTAAAGGTTCTATATTACGCAACATTGACTCTTGTGAACTTTAAGTCATGTTATAATGCTGTTACATCCTCAAAAACATACCTGGAGTTGTCTCAAATACAAAGTTGAAAAAACTGAGGCACTCAAAAAGTACAAAATAATTAAAAGCCTTTAATACCACATGGCAGGTTTTGGCCCTTTTAATTATTTTGTACTTTTTGAGTGCCTCAGTTTTTTCAACTTTGTATTTGAGATTGGTCCCTACACTGAAGAGCACCAAAAGAACAATTCTGCACAATTTTGTATGTCCAAGTAGCACTTCTGCTCCCAAAGTTATACCTGTAGTTGTGTTTTGTTTCATTCACACGTGTTTGAGTAACTCTTTATTATTAGTCTGTCCAAAACTTCAAAGCCCAAAATGCTCTGTAGCAACTTTTACCTTTAGTTCAGTAGAAATGGACAATTCCAGATCTGAAATTGTCTAAATGATTCTAGTGAATGTGTATGAAGTTTAAAAACACAACGGAGCACTGCTTGTATTACCACATGACATCACAAGGTAGAGCATTTTCTGTTTGAAAGAAGAACTTAGCCTAAATAGGCAGGATTTGTGTGTTAAACATGTGTGAATGAAACAAAACACAACTCCAGGTCTGTTTGTGATGGGAAAACAACATTATAACATAGATCACACGTTCATCTGACAGCAATTAGACATTTTCATTACAACAGAAGACCATTTTTGGGCATATATGTATATACATTTACGTTTTAACTTTACATACACACTTAACTGTACTGAACCAGGATCCTCTACCTATACCAGTGTAACAGTCTGTAGGTGACTGTGGACTCTGAGCATATAGTGTATATTTTAAACTCTCTGCTCATTCGTTCTCTCCATTCTCTCTCCACATCTCCTCCATTGTCATTTTCTGTGTCCAGCTCTGAGCTCAGCCTGACAACTGCTCCTAAATCACTAAATCATATATGAGATGTTTTATATTCCCTGTCTGTAGTTCGACCTTAAAAAACCCATATTGCACTATTTTCTGATCTAAATGCTGTTTTTTGTTTCGTTCACACATTTTTAACACGTGTATCCTGCATATTTAGACTATGTTCTTCTCTGAAACTGAAAACTTCCCATTCCACCTTGTGATGTCATGTGGTAAAACAGGAAGCGTTCTATTGTGTTTGTAAACTCTGTACACCTTCAAAGAATCCTTTGATTAATTTCAACCCTGGAATTGCCATAATCTCTACAGACCTAAAGGTAAAAGGTAGCTGTTAACTTGAAAACTAGCTTCATGACATCACAAGATAGAAATGAGCATTTTGAGCTTTGGACATGTTGACAGACACAAGTCCATATATGTTTTTGAGGAGGTAACAACATTCTAAAATGGCGCACAAGAGTTGTATAATATAGGACCTTTAAAATCCATCCCCGTGCTCAAATATTTTTTTGACAATTTCTACAAAACCAAACCAAACCAAAACCAAAAAAAGATTGACTTAATTTCACTTGATAATATCTGAGCTGTCTGTGCTTTGTCAGTTTCTATACAATCACGAATACATCGAAGCAATGTTTTTTATATAAAGCAGGTTTGTCAATACATTAGCCTTGAGAACATGCAGGTTAATTAGATTTTCTTACATAAATATTTAGTCTTGAAAGTTGCTCTTAATGAGAAAGTTGTTGTGTTTTAGAAATGAAAAACTGCTGTATATATCGTCCCCTCAAAGTTATTCATACTGTCCTTGAATGCTTTCTGTGCACTATGCCTATATCAAACTTGTATACAGTTTTGTGTTTTGTTTTTTTGTAGATTTTATGACCAAAAAAACAAAACAAACAAAAAAAATTACTGGTAATTTCAAAGCTTCACTTATGTTTTGAAGTGTTATCTGCCTCGGCCAATCAGATCAAAGAATGTATTTAAACTGGCCAATTAAGTGGTCAAATAAAAAATATTCTTCTCTCAAACAGAAAACACTCTTCCACCCTTTGATGTCATATGGTAATACAGGAAGTGCTCCACTGCATTTTTACAATCTATAAGACTTCACTAGAACCATCTGGATGATTTCAGCCCTGGAATTGCAAATCTCTAATGAAATTAAAGGTAAAAAATAGTTGGTAACTTGCAAACCTACAACTTCATGACATCACAAGGTGGAACAGAACATTTTGAGCTTTGGAGAAGTCGACTAGTAATGCAGGATTACTCAAACATGTGTGAATGAAACAAAACACAACTCCAGGTATGTTTTTGATGCAGTCACAGCATTATAAGATGGCTTTAACTTACAAGAATCAATTTAGTGAAATATAGGTACTTTAATTACTACTTTACTGCATACTTTTGAGATATTTTGTGCAACAATGTAAATGAAATAGTTTTTGCATATTTTGAAATTTGACCCCACTCAGGCCTTACAAATTTTAATAAACTAACCTATGACAACAGCAGAAAATGATGAAAAGTCTTTTAAAATGAACTTGTCGTGATAACTATATAAAAACAAACTTTCCAAAGTAGTTGAGCTGGATTGACATCACAATAGATGCAGTTAGTGTTGCCATGTCACTGTGAGAATGACCAGTGTAAAGCCTGACAGCCATAATAGTGGTAATTATGTTCCACTCAACATCAGTTTTTATATGGAAAATACCTCACTTTTTAAAAGTGTCTTAAACCTACCAGAACAGAAAACAATGGGTGTGGATTATATTGCTTTATAGGGTCCATATGTAAGATTTTGATTTGAAATTCCATAAACTTGAGCTAACTGTGTCCCCAGATACGAGGTAAACATGTTGAAATCAAATATAGTTTTACTGATAACAATTCTAATCATGAATCAGTGCTAGTGCAGCCGCTGCAGCTCAGTGAGTGAATTCTGGAGGTTCTGAGCTTTCACACAAGGCATGACCCGTCCATATACTGAGAATTTTAAAAACTTTTATGTATCCTCTGTCTGCAGGTTGGGTTCAGTTGTGATAGTAGTTCTTTTTTAGTGCAGTACAGTTTCTTTAACTAAATTTAAAAAACTAAGTGGAGCAATACAGTATAACAGCTAGAGTGGAGTGAACTGGGAACCCTCTAGTTATTTGACATACACTGAAATATAAACAAAACCAAATGTATGAGCTAGCTTTTTAGCATCATTAGTGATTGCAAAATGAGAGATTGCAATTGGTGAACCTGAATTAAGGAATAGTTTGTGTTTGTAATAATAAAATGCAAATACATAGGGATGTACGGTTATCCAAATCTCTCGATACGATGTTATCACGATGTGCATCTCACGGTACGATATTTATTGGGATATTTTGGAGAGGCTTTTTTTGTTTTAAAATACCCTGACCCTTAAATTTGGTGTGAATTCTTACTGTCATAATCCCAAGAATTCAAGTAAAAAACATATTTCTTCATGTTGTCTGCGCTGAAATGAATCATGGGATATGTAGTTCCCAATGTTTATTAGTGATTGCTACTATAAAAAAATACATTTAAGCAAAGGAACTTGTAATTCGATATATTGTGACGCCCCCTCGCTGTTATTGTGTGACTTTTGACGATACAGTTTCACGTTATTTCGGTTATTGTTACATCCCTACAAACACATTGTTATCCGAATGAATGCACCAAACATGTGTCTTCTTTGTGTTTTTGCAGTGGAGCTCCGCCAAGCCATCGTAGCCATGATGAACCGCAAAGACGAGCTGGACGAGCAGAATGCGTACGTCTCACACACACTCACACACACATGCAGACACACACACACAATGGGGGAGAGAGAGGGAGAGGAGATGGAAAGAGAGAGAAGGGAGAGAGAGATACACATAAAAGAGAGGGAAAGAGAAAGAAATGGACAGAGAGACACTAGGAGAAAGGGACTAGAGGGGACATGAACGGGGAGAGGGACAGAGAGAAAGTGGAGAGAGAGCAAGGGCAAAAGAGAAGCTGATGTAAGGAGTGAGAGAGAGGGAACATAAGCCATGGAGAAAAAGAGGGGAGAGAAAGAGAGCGAAAGTGAATGAAAGAGAGAGGAAGAAAGAGGTGGGGCGTGAGGCAATGACAACCAGTGGGGAGAACAGAATAGGGAAAGAGAGAAAGGGAGAGAGGGGAACCAGGAGATAGAGCGTTGGCATAAAGAATGGAGAGAGAGTCAGGGAGAAAGAAATGGTAGAGGAGGGAGTGAGGTGAGGATAGCGAGATCTAGCATAAGATATAGAAAGGAGAGGGGAGGAAAGAGTGAGAAGAACATTAACACAGGAACAGAGAAAAAACAGGAGGAAGGAGCATGAAAGAGAAAGAGAGAGAGTAGATATTGCCTGACCTGTGGGTGCACATGATGTCAGCTGGCTGTTTTGGACTCAGACTCAGAGTGCGTTTTGTGCTGACGGGGGCAGGGAGCTCGCTGCTGTTCCGAGGTGTAACTTTTAACAAGCCACTGGAGGCTCTGATGTACGCTGATGGAACAGGAAGTACACGCTTTATATGGGGTGAGATGGGAGCCCCCGATAAGGCCAAGTAAACAAAGTGATTACACAGCTATGGGGGAAGACGCGTGTGCTAGGGTGGGATTAGCATGCACCATTTTAGATATAACAACATGGGTGAAAAGGTTAGAAGTGGAACTAAACGCTAAAACTTTTTTAGCAATTTCAGTGCAAACTAGGTAAATTTGCAGCTTTCTATTAAAAAAGGCCTACATCTAAGTCCGTGCTGCCTTAAGTAGTTGGTGACATTACACAGAACTTACAAACGCCTGGTTGAAGTGGTGGAGTTTGAAGTGCGGATACTTCTTAGACCAATCAAACTGTTCCTTACACCTCCAGACCCTTCCCCTCTTCCACTTTCACTCTCTTCTTTAGTTCTCCAGGTACTTCCCAGTTTAGCAGCTCTGTTCTGTTGATAGATTTGGTTGTATTTAAATTTAAGGTACATTGTGTAACCTTTTTAGATGAATGGTTCTATTTCTGTCCAACAAGGTTAATTTGGTCTTCCGATAATTTATTTGATTAGATTCCTTTGTCAGACCAAGGTTTATTTTGTTTCTATACCTGACAGTTTCGACTCCTCACTAGTGTTACTAGGGTTGGGTGGTAATACGGTATTATGGTATACCGCGGTATCAAAAAGTAGCAACGGTGTCAGTTTCATTACCGTCATTAAAAAATCTGCAGCACATAAGGACCTAATAATATTATAATTTATTGATACCTAAATTTGTTTGCGCAGCACAAATTAATGTGTGGTTGTATTTTCAGTTTAATGCTATCACGATTTCAAACTAATAGTATTTATAATGTTTCTTTTCACTGCGTGGGGAGATAAGGTGTTTGATTAGTTTCATTCTGCTGTCACGTGACAGCAAAAGGAAAGGGAGACTAAGAGGGAGACTAAGACAAGATGGTAAGTCACGCCGCAAGCAAGTTGGTCCCCCCCCAAAAATACTAGTACTTCTGCAATTTGGCAGCATTTTGGCTTCAGATGCACATTTCTTTACGTTTTACAGAAACAAAACTTAAAACTGCATGGCTAATTTGCATGAACTGTAAGCGCTGATAAAAACAGTTCACTTCTTGTGCGGTGATTCAGTTCAGCTTTTGTCTGACTAAAGGACACGACACAGTGGAATATGTTTTTTCTGCGACAGAGGAAGTTGCGGCTGACGGTGAGTCTGTTCTGTGCATGTGTCGCGTTGGAGATGGTTCATGTTTAACTTTTCAGAGATTAGAAGTCTGCAGGTCATACGCATAGACTGTATAGATATGCGACTTCACTTACCAAAGTCGTACTAAAATATTTTGGTTATATGGTAATACCGTATATGCTGGTAAAATCCTGAGACGATTTAACAGTATCTAAATTTGGATACTGCCCAACCCTAAGTGGTAGTTACATGATGCTGTGACGTGTCTGGTCAGCTGATTTAAAGAAGTTTTTCATGTTTCAAAATACAGAAACATGCTGACAGGACTTTAAACGGACTCGAGGGGACTTTTTTGCTTATATACACCTGGGATAGATGTAGTCTTGAACAAGCCGGACTGCAGTTGGTGCTGTTGTCCTGCCTCCACCAGTAGGAAGACAGCGCCAAAACCTGTTTAAAGCAGCTGACCAGACATGTCACAACAATATCATGTGACCACTTTGAGGAAGGACCACAAGTGTGCATTCAAAACTGTCTGTTCTGTTCTATTTCTGGTTCATTAATCGTTAAACTCCAAGTGGATATCTTGCCAGTGAAAAGCAATAGTGCGCTGCCTTCTTTTCTCCATGGAGATGTTGTTTCTTTGGCTGGAACTCATCTATCTCCATGGAGACGAGTAGCCGACGACACCAGGCCAAGTTGCAGGTCAGATCTGTGGAGAGATGAGTCCAATCACAATAAGAATGCAAGGGGATTTTGAGCAATAAAAACAGCTGTAATTAAAGCATGCTAATTGGATAAGTTTAATGCCCTACTGTGGAGCATTCTATGAAACGCAGTAACACCCCCCTCTCTCATACACGTACACACACCAGAAAAGTTACATAGTGCACCTTTATTTTTAGTATCTAATTGTTTTTACACATTGTTTTTATTTATGTTAATTACAATTTTTACTCTTGTGTTAGCTGCCATTACTCCACCATTAAAAGAACAATTTAAACAACAAACTAACTTAACAATTAACTCAACAAAATTGACCACATGCAATTAAAAACACTGGCTGCTCTGGAGCAGTAGACAAGCAATTTGTTGACCATACACTCAATTAGGTTTACAAAATGGTGTTCAATTGATTAACTATTTATTCTCCTTTTAAATCCACGTCTGCCCCTCTAAATGAACGAGATGAACTTTCATAATGAATAACTCGCAAATCCAATTTTGTCAGCCCCATTTGCGCCATCGCTCCTGTCAATTTCTCCCAACTGTAAGATTCATTCTCTATTCAGACATGCTGGGTTGGCTTTATCGCTCTCTCCTGTGTGTTTGGCAGGTCTCTCCGTAGTTTACTGGACGGAGAGATGGAGCACTCAGCCACCCTCAGACAGGAGAGCGAGCAGCTGAAGAAGAAACTGACTGAACTGGAGGAGCGACATGAGGTCAAAGTTCAGGCTCTGGCCAGGTGGGAACTGCACACACGTCTGTAGTAGAATTGTCCAAAGTATTGAAAATCTAATACTAATTGATGCTAAAACTAGTACAGAAACTAGATACTGTAATTTCTGGACTAATGAATATAATACCTGAATATAAGATGCATCAATTAAAATAGTAAATATATAGGTAAATAGTAAATAGTACATATATAGGCTGCACCTGAATATAAGCCGCAGGTGTCCACATCTTCAAGAACGTTGTCGAGTTTGGGCTGTCTCCTTTTATATTCTCTAAAAGCTTTTGTTTGTCATGCTGCTGTCACCAAAATCTCACCATTGACTCATTGATGTCGAGCTCACGTGCAGCAGCTCTACAGCCACATCAATTGCCTTTAACTTAAAAATTGCATCATCTGCATTTCGTCCTGTTTTTTCTGTGAGGAGGGTGTGTGTGTATGAAGCGCAAAATAACTGTTCAAAACACAATCAAATGAGTGTCTTCCTCAGCGCATGACTCGTGCAAGATCCACTGTCCTGTCTGTATCATGTCAGTGTCTTGAAGGATTCCAGCAGATATCAGTCTCTCCCGGGAGCGGAGCTAGATGTGTTGATCAAGTATGAGTGGATTTCCAACTACTGAAGTTTGAGACATTTCTTCTTGTCATTTGCGGCCCCACCTGTATTTAACACATACGGGTAAGACGTATCCCCTCTCACTAATGTTCATTTAGCATTATAATTTTATCACACGGTGATAAACTGTTTTAGTGCGCTGATAACATTGCTAGCAAACACTGCACTATGTTCACTTCTATGTGAAAACTGAAATTGTCCTGGTGTAGTCCTGGTGTACACGCATTATGAAACTGTTTGGAAAATTTGTAAAACTTATTTTGACATGGTAGTTGCACTGTTCAAACAGTTTTTCCCTTTTGGTACTCAAAATGCTTTACATTAAACTGCAGTAACACACATTCCTATGTCTTGGTACACAAACACAAAAGTCATAGCGAGTGAATTATCTTGCCCAAGGACACGACTGCAGTATTCAGTTGTGGGGTGCAAGAATCAAATTTCCAACCTTAAATATCTCTTACTCTTGAGCTGCTGCTACTGTCCAGTCATGCCAATTTATTCAAACAAACACAAGCATTTCAAATAAGGATGATACCGATTCCGATATTGGTTTTGTGGCTGGTAGATACTGATAGCCCACAAATTTAAAATGATAGCAAAGTTCACAAATTAACTCATTTCTGTAAATATAATAACTGATATAGATTATTTTGTTGTATGACTGAGTAAACATATAGTCATATTTTTAGCCTTTTTGCTGTTCCATTTCTATTTTTTTCATTAGTCTTTTCAAAAAGAAGTCTGATGCACTGTGGACAAACTTGAATGACACATGACCACACAAACACTGGGGCAAATTGGTTAATATCACTAATAGTAATCACCTATCCCTAATTTCTAATCTATTAAACAAAACTATTGGCCTGTTATTCCTGTAGCTGAATCCTAGCACACTATTTTTCCTCCTATCAGTTGTCACATTTATGTACAGTTTGAGCAGAGAAACGGTTCTGACAAGCCACAAATCAGCGCCTGACATTTCAACGGTTTTACCATTAGTATTGATCACTGCCTATCAGACCCCCACCGGGCCCTAATGGCTCCTCCATGCTCCGGGACGCAAACAGCTGACGGAACGCCGATTTAATTGCCCGTTCACCGGAGAAGCACGGCGAACGGGTGGCGGGTGCAGCGACGGGGGCTCTTGACAGGCGAGCCACGTGTGTCACTAATAAAATTAACCATGATTAAGTGGAATAGCGGTGATTAGCGCTGTGGCGGCACCGATATTTAGCATGTCACCCGAGCTGGATATGCGTCAGCCTGAGCGAGTTTTCCCCAATTTAAAAGTTGTGGTAGGGTGTGAGAAAAAAGAAACAAAAAAGTATGGTTGTCTATTATTATATTTGTGATACATGTAAAGGATTTTATGGGGTAATTTTCAAATTTTTGACACAATTTTCACTGTAGAAATGTGTTCACATGCAGTTGTTCCTTTGTACTTAAAAACGGTTTGTAGTATTGTATATTCATCCATATTTGTATAGGCTACTAATTATAATAATTTAATGAAATACAATTGATGCCTTGCAGTCACGCTGGGGGTGCTCTGCTTGTATGTTTGTGGCAGAATGCTCAGCTCTTACCCTGGTGACAAAATACACACATTAACAAACACTGAGCCAAGATTTAAGCCCGAAATCTCAAGAAAAAATACAAAATTGATTTAAACAGCACATTTTCAGTGAGTTGTGGTATAATTTAAGCAGAGAAAAAAACATAAATCATAGTTTCAGTTTATCTGTCCTAGAAAACACGACGAGAAACCAATGTAGAAATCGGCGCTGAAATTTCCAACCTAAATTCATCTGACTCGCTTCATTAATTAGGTTGTTTTAGAGTCAACATTAGAATTTTAAATGTCCAAACATAAACCAACACTCCACTGGTAGACAGCAGACAAAAGCATAAAATATAACTACTCCTGTAACTGTGTATCTATGACTCACCATTGATTTTGCATTGCTCTTTTTTAAGGACAGGTTTTAAGCCTCAGTAAACACCATGTTAAAGCTAAAGTGAGGCATGGCCCTGACTGATACCTACAGTAGCAGCCTGTGTACACCTAATAACAGTCATTACTTTGACCAGGAAAAGAATCTTCACGTCTTCGTAATAGTCACAACAAAACTCAAACTCCCTCTTCTCTCTTGTGAGAAATACTGGCTAGTACTAACTTCTAGATACTCAGTAATGTTTAGGTTCAGTAATTCAAGGTCGAGTAAAGATAAAGTTATGTTGAGGGATATTTGCTGAATCTGTGCATTATTTGTCTGTACTCGAGCAGTGTTTTTGCCAAATCCTTTCTTTGCTTTTTAGACTTATACTCCATACTTTTACTTTTAACTAATTATTTTAATAAAGACAATTGACTTTCTGACTAAGCTGTGTGTAGAGAGATTCATGTTTGAGTAATTTTTATTCTCCTGCATTCAAGACACCATTGCTCGGGGCAGCAGCCATTTTGGTAGGCAAAAAGTGTCCGTATCAACAAGTCAACATCAACATCGTCAACAGTTATCGGCGTGCAACATCAACAGTCATCATACAACAGTACAACATCAACATCGTCAACAGTTACCAACATACAACATCAACAGTTATCATAAAACAGTACAACATCAACATCATCATCGTCATACAACAGTACAACATCAACATCTTTATTTACAACAACAGTTATCAGCGAGTTTTAACTTTTCAATGTAACGTTTTTGATCCTCAACATTCAACATTCAGTGACTTAGAGTAAGATGATGAAGTCATGTCAAAACAATTAAATGCAAAACCTACTTCAAAATAAGGCGGGTTATCTCATGACAGACATACGCAATGCAACTGTCAACACAAACGAGCGGCCCGACTGACTTTTTGCCTACCAGCTACTGCGCACAAAAAAGCGGAAAAGCTGTATGTAAACAAAAACAATGTTTTCTCGTATGCCTCCCAATTCTCAAAAAAAAAAAAAAAGAAGTAAATATTAAGTTAAAATTAAGTTCATAAATCCATGACCATAGACTGTGCATATAAATGGGCATAGCTAACCTACTAGCTGCCAAATAGGAAGTGAACGTGGGGGCACTTCCAGTTCATCAACTCTGGTTCCAATTGTCTTTACACTGAAAAATTGTCACCTGCTATAGAGAGCCTCATTATTTTGGTCTTAAAATGTTTGTATTAACACGCTCTACATGATGCTGCTATTTTTATTTTGCCATTTTGTTCTTAAATAAATTCTTATTCCTAATATGAAACTCGGCTCCAAATTTGCCCTATAACTGCTAGCCTTTTGAGCTTTATTTGACTGGAGCCGAACGCCAAATGTCACACTCCCTTAGTGCACTTCTTCATACCGTCTATAAATAAAATGCCGTCATATTTAAACCGACGTACCATTTAGGACAGAAGTAATTTTAAATCAATATTACAGTTTCAAACATCCAAGCATAAAATAACTCTACTGGTGTCAATTTTAATACAACTATACAGCGGACAAAAGCATAATATGTAACAATTGAATCTCTTTTTTCCCACATATCCCATAAGTGACCACCCACAGAACCAACCACGTCACTCCCATCTTTACCCATTGACTTCCATTCACCAGACGCCAACATGCCGAGCCCTGTAAGCCCCTTTAAATAGCATATTCGTCATCCATCAGGGCACTAACTAAACAATAGGCCCCCATTCAAAAAGCCAGCTACCAGAGATGGATGGCGATACACTAAGCCTTATTATGGCCTAGTTGTGTGAGACAGCTGGACACTTGTAGATTCTAAAATGGGCCCCGATGATGAGGAGATGACTTCACTGCCGGGCGCGTGCTTGCTTCCTGCAGGTGACACTGTCTAGACGCACAAAACGTTATTCTATAGACAGCCGCTAAATCTCCAATGCCAAATTTGTCTCGATCAATAGCTGGCTATAAATACCGCGTGGAGTGAACAGCTAGCCAGTGAATGAGGGCTAGAAGCTGTCAGGAGGAGTCGTTCAGGGGAAAGTGGCGACTGGCAACGGTTGCTATGTATCCCATGATGCTTTGTGATTCACTCGGGGGTGAATTAAGAGTCAGGAAAGGCTTGACAGAAGAAAGAGGCTACTGGAGGATGTGTTTCAACTGTTAGCCTGGATTGACCTTAATGATAATGACAAAATTAACATCTCATCATTTTTGGAAGTCTCTCAATAACAAGAATTGGGTAATTGGATGAAATGTGCCAAAATGTGCCGGTAAATGTCTTGGTTGGGGTTCAAAAATTGGACAAAAAGTGAATGGACTGGAAAATTAATCACACTAATGTTGAAAAAATTGCTTCAATCCATGTTCCATTATTACTCTGCAAGTGTCTTTCTTTTTTCTTTTTATCTGAACCTTTTGCTAATCTGA